GGATTTGTTATTTCCGAATTTTATAATGTGATTGGCATTAAAAACACGCTCACCTTCAACGAAATTTCCTTTCCGAGGCTTTGTGTCAGCCCAATCACATATTGTGTCAATACTTATCATTTTATCGTAATTTAAAAACTTGGAAATTGCAAGGTACACTATAGGAACTACGATAAATTTTCCCTAATCGGCGCCATGTTTTTAGGCTCCTCCCATTTGACGGATCCCAATACTTGAGGCTACATTTATATAACGTTCTAATGCTTATTGGGCTCTTTTTGTCACCGTCGAAATGAGTTTATTCTTATAATAATCCGGATGTTGCAGATAGATTTTTGGAAGGAGTACATTCATTGATTTAATGCTTTATATGCAGGTGAAGAAGAATATCAGTAGCATCAGGGGGAGGATCATTGATAAGCTCTGGTTTAACTTGACGTCGGAGCCGTATCTTAGGGAAGAAAATTTTACGTTTCTGATTGTGAAACATCTGAAAGAATTCGAAGGTGAACTGCTCAAAGCGATGAACAAGGATGGATGGGATGGCGAGGAAGATATAAATAAAGTACAGTGGACTTTTGCTGGTGCTCTTTTTTATTCCATTATTGTCATCACAACCATAGGTAAGATTGTTATGGTAACAGAAATTGTATGCGAAAATGCATGAGAGAGTAGAACCTCGATTGAGTATTGAGGTTTGTACTTACTAAGGGTTTAAATTTAAGCTTTAAAATTATGGATTTCCAGTGACCTAACAAACTCTTCAGCTTTTTCCTTTAGCAGGGGCGGCCTTTGGGGGTGGCGAACAGGGCATCCGCCCGGGGCCTCGCTCTTGCAGGGGCCTCGCACACTCGCGCAACAATCTAATTAGAAAAATATTAGGTAGTAATAGTACATACTACTAATGTTTATTTGAATTTCTTAATAGATAGAGAAGATATAAATAATAAAAGAAGCCGCAAATTTGCCATCTTTATCTTTATCAATTTTCGATAAACAATTTTAAATCTGTAAACTTATTTATGAATCACTTTGCATTTTTCAAGTATCATCATTAAAATTAATTCCACAAAGACGAGGGCCTCGCAAAAATTTAACCGCCCGGAACCTTCCAATGACTAAGGCCGCCCCTGTCCTTTAGTATAGGTCCACTAACACTAATGTTTTTATTTCTACACTGTCTAAACCATGTAAACAACAAGCATTTTTCTAAATTAGGAAATTCTTCGTCTTTTACATAGAAAACTTTCTCCCGATTTAAACCACTTTTCACTGTTTACTGGGGTGCGATGCCCAAATTATTCGTTTAAGTTATAGAGGGTTTTATTTTAAGTAATAGAGGTTTCGGACTCCGAGGGGAAGCATGCATACTATTACACTGTAACATATCAAAGCACTTTCCAGCTGTTAACTGACATAATCATTTCTGATATTCAACATTCTGCCACCAGCATTCTTGCTGTTACAAATGGAAAAGGACAATCCTCTTTATACGAATTAATTATAATCACTTTTCTATCTCTGTAACTCATCCCTATATTGATTGGAATTAATTTGTGTTTATTTTGTTTAGGTCCTTTTCTTTACATCTTCAAACACTTTCCTAATTTCAGTAAATATATTAAACGAAAAGTATGTAGTTACATTTACTGCTGAACACATAAAGTGCATATTATAATTTTCTTATTGACACAAGTCGTTTCAAACGTTATTTCGTATACAAAGTTGCTCATGAATTGTCAGCCCGGGGACAGTTTACATACTAATTAGACCACGTCGTTCAAATGGAGACGTTTCCATGAACATCAAACTAATTAACACATTAATAAGCGAATACCCACTAGATGGCAATGCACTGCCTGTATTTGGACTCAATTAAAATCTAAAAATCGTTTTATTATTTGCCTATACATAATTGTCTGCCAAGTTTTTTTTCTGTATCTATTGCTTTTTATTTATTGTGAAAGTGAAATTCAAATGTTTACTGTAAATTCAGTGACATAATGCACTAGTCATCGCTGGTTTAAGATTAAATTAGTTTTTATGATTCCTGTGTGGTTGTTCGTGTACGTAACAATATCCATTCAAGACATTCGCAGAGAAAGTTTTAAGTTGAATACGTCCTACGTACACTGTTAGAAATTTAATATCGATAAACAGACTAGATTAAAAATTAAATTTTCTTTTCAGAAAGTTTCCTTGTCGTTTGTGTTTAAAAATATGAAGGTTTTCTCATAGCGAGAAGCAGGCGGTGAATGCTGGTTTTCCCGCATTTAATTAGTTACAGTGGTTTTTCGTTAGAGATGAAAGGCAGACAAGTTAATCCAATTAGGACTAAATGAGTGCAAAGAGCTTTGGGATTACTTGCTCATGTACTTACTAAAAACAAGATGTACCTACAGATTGTAATGATACTAGATCGCACACTTTTTATCCTGTGTGATCTACATGCGTTTCAACTTGAACCAAATGAGTAAAATGATCATAAAATGTAGAATAGACTGTTGTGACCAATATGGCGTTTGTTTCATCTAATTATCATAAACGGTTCGAGAATAATATTTATATGAACATGCGTCAAAGTATGCGTAGCGTTGTCTAATGTAAATTCGAAGATAACGATTGGTTGCTGCAGTAGGAGTGGGGGAAGGTTAAGAAGACGTGAGCGGCGATGGATGCGTCAGTTGATCATGTTACGCTGCAATGAGTTTTACTTATGACAGTTTGCCCGATTTAAATTTTAATTAAAAGTATGCTACTGTCTCCAGAGCTATTTTTTCTTGAGTAATTCGTATTCTATGTTACATTTCTCATCTACTACCCGTTTTCGCATTTTATAAAACTAGGGAATGGGTTAGTCCATATGCACGTTATAACGGATATGAAGCACGTGTTTAGCGTTTAAATCAAACTTAAGATTGCTTTTTCTTCGGTACGTTCCTACACATAAAAGGTAATGCGACTTCTCGCTTCTTACTCTTGAAATAGTGACTTTCCTTCTTATTAATGCCGCCCCTATGATTAATTCATTGCTCGTATGAAACATTCATAAAACTGCCTGCTTATTTAATGCATTCGTCTGAATATTTATAACAATCATCATTGAATAAATAAATCACATAAATAAAATTGAATTAATAATGACATTACGTATTTACAAAAATGGAGTCAACGTTTTTTGGTATGTTATCATATTAAATATCCTTTTAGGATTTTGAATCAGCTTCTGTTAACGACCTTCTCTTGAAATCTGTGGGACCTCCTGGACCACTTAGAACACCATTGTCTAAGGAATATACATTTTCGTCATTATAACCTACAAAAATAGAAAACAAAAAATTAATGCAATCAAAAAGCTAGCCAGTGTCTGAATTTTCAAAATGACAACAATAGGTAAATGGTGAATGTGAGAGCATAGGTGATATGATACTTTGTACGCGAAGAGAAGCCAATAATAGCAAAGGTATTGCTCTCTGTCTCACTTCGCCAGGTGTTTCTGATTTGTCGTTAGCAACGAGAGTGGGGGTACCTTAAATACCCGTGTATTGCGTTTGACTCGCCACTCAGGTAACTAGCGTCACCGGCGACGGTGATGAAATCAAATTAGCGCCTACTATTCAGGCAGATAAAAGAGCTAATTAACCAATAGCAGGTAAAATTTTCTACATATTCCGTTACATTTAAGTGTTCAAGACCAAATAAAAATGAAAACTGCCGACATAGTAATGAAAAATGGTACTTATCCGATTCGATTCGTGGAACATAAATAAGTTACGTTTCGCGATTGAAATTGTGGAAATGTCGATAGTGATTTTTTCGCGACGCTTATGCTATTATGAGACGTCAGCATAAAACTTTTGTCACTGCTCGTTTTGTCGTCAACAACTTCGCGTAAAAGGCTAACGGCTGATTGCCACATCGGGCTATAAATTTGAAATGACATTCATAAATTGACGTGAACTATATATGTACGTGGATGTAAGGAGGAAAAAGCATACAAAAATATCGCGGGATAGAAATAATGAAACAATGTGCTTAAACCTTCAGCGCACACACATAAAAATCGGTCGAATGCAATAGTAAAGTTACCCAATTTATGAGATAAAATATTTCACTGTCGATAGCTCATATCGCAACCTGGATTGATCGTTATCAGAGACATTTTTAGTTTGTAAATACAAAATTGTAACAGTGCCTCGAAATGAGAAAAAAATCTATTTCGATGTCTATCAAAATCAAAAGTAACGAACTTCTAGGGTCTGTATTCAGCCTGAGTCCACAAAACCCTTGGAGAACTTGTATTTGTTTGAGGAACGCATATACATATATACCTACCACCTTGATAATTTCCACCGTAGTGTCCAAGTCCAGGTCTACTAGGCCCGCCCAAATGATGCCCAACATCAACAGGGCCTCCAGGTCCTACCAAAACCCCATTTGCCAAAGAATGGATAGGCCTGCTAGGGATCGGTTCATCAATCACCCTGCTACTTTTGCTCCTGTAGCAACAGTATTGCTTCCCTGTGTCACACTGACCCTGTTAACAGTTGAATTACGTTTTATTAGGGTATCGGTACGATTTTCGGGAACAATATACAAACATAGGAAATCCCTGGGGTGTTGCAATTGAAGGATTCGGCGCATTTACAGCGATCGAACTTTTCTAATCGAGGTTGTCGTTCCCATGAAGGTATCGGACCCGTTAGAATTCCCGGGTGGCCTTGTCCAGGTCTTTGGACGTTTATCCCGAAATCTCCTAACCCTTGTTGAATCGGTCTAACATTACAAAAAAGGGGAGGGTGGATTATTTCAGATATTATCAATCGTAAAATTGGAAGTCACCTTTGGCTTACTGGGTAATAGTTGTTGGGGGGCGGCCTGAAACTTGGGCCCTGTAGGCTCTCTTCTGTTTCTTCTACGACGTCATAACGAGCTTGGGCTCTTCTAAAAAAGAGACAAGTAATTAGGTATTGTTATTGTTTTAAAAGAATTGTAACATCTAACACAAAGGATAATTGAAATATTGAATACTTTCAAAAAAATCGGTTGTCTGTAAGTCGGTTTACTGACTCTAGTTGAACGTGACAACGTCATAAGAAAATACTGATGGAATGGTTTCATTTTTCAAAAGAAAATTTTAATTTTATTTGTTTGATAGCTATTTTGTATGGATATAGAGAAGGAGATAATTGGAAATGTATTACTGTATAGCAGCTGTCCACGCGGACGCATCGCTCACTCAAGTAGGAGAGAGACAGATGTCGAACGCTGCCGAACGCGGAGGCCGATTGTGCCTCTTTGTCGCTCGTTCCGCGCTCTCGCTTGCACTTCACACCTTAAATGGAACGCCTCAGAGCGAGGTAACGCCGCATGAGTCATGTTTTTTCGTGCGTGCAGCCGGCTCTATCGAATTATAAGACGTTGTCACGTCAAAAGTTTGTCAATTGGTTCGATTTATTGATAGAATTTTGAAAATACATTCCGTTGTTTAGATGCAGGTTTTTGTTGGGACAAATGCTATTGTGACATGTTTTGTTCTCTGTCTAATACAATGATGTATAGGGAACATTTGTAACTTGTTCTTCTATCGCAATTGTCGGAAAAGTGTCGGTTCGATGTTCCACTTAGGACAGCAATCCTTTAGATCGAGAATAATAAATCACTTTAAGCGTTATAAGCTATAAAACAGAGAAGCTTCTTTGTGTTCTTGCGAATAACTTATTCGAGTGATTTCACTTATTGAAAATAGGTTTTTAATTGTTACCTTTCGTTATTTTTCCATCTCCATTCTTCGTCACTGTTGCAAATTTGTGAGATCAAAATCGCACCTGAAAAACAATTAGTTTCATTAATAATTTAGTTAGTAGGTACTACGGGGATCGAGCTTTGTTAAGGGTAGATGGAAAAAGTCTTGCCAGAATTTTTTTGTATTAGTTATTGTTATTAGTTTGGGACCCAAAGTTTCTTTTCTACATACCACACATAAAAAAAAACAAAAAAAATTTATCACATTGTAGGATTCGAACTCGCGGACCGAGGCATGATAGACCTATGCGCTCTAACCTTTGGACTATTTACAAGATTGTTATTGTGTCGAAATTACCAATCGCATCGCGCGGGAAACTCATGTTTGTTGCATTGTGCACGAAAATACTACACGGTGGAAACGAGTTGTCTACAAATGAGACCTATCTAGAATATCTAGTGCTTTTATTTTTATTAGACTGACAATGTTGATAAATTGACTTTTTGTTGGTGTTTATTATCTGCTTTATAAAGTCTGCGATTGTTTGTAAATACTAAATTCATTCGCTTCCCAGATATCTGTAGCTAGTATTCATTCGTTTCTTTTTGTTTTGATGATTCATCTCGCCAGGTAACGCCTCCGTGTTTTTTTTTGTTGGAAATAACTAGAAACTTCATATTTCTAGACTAAAATGAGTGATACTCTGGCAATCCCATCGCGTCATTCATTTTCTAAATGGACTGCTAGTGAACTTGCTTTTTCTCTTGCTCTTCACGATTCTATCTTTAATTTAGAAAACAATAAGGAGAAAACAAAGATCCAGGTGGCGGCGAAATACCACCGTCTAACGTAAACTCCACGAAAACAACTAGATATTTTAGATCATAGAAAACAGTTGCAATATGACCAATATTTGTATGTGAATGTCAGATACAGTACATAAATTTGAAATTATTTATTACTAAGTATTTTTAGAAATTGGAAAAAAATTGTTAAAGGTGTACGTCTGGAGTGCGGCGCTGTACGGGTGCGAAACATTGACGGTTGGCGCGACGGAAAAGAAATGGTTAGAAGTGTTCGAAATGTGGTGTTACAGGCGATTGATAGAGAAGGTTAGAAATGAAGAGGTATTAGAAAGAATAGGAGAACAGAGGATTCTATGGAAGTCGATAAGAAATAGGTGAGATATATTGGTGGGATACCTTCTCAGGCATGAAGGGCTAATTAGAAACATGTCAGAAGCAGAACCAGGAGTTAAGAGGAGTAGAGGTCGACCTAGATAAGATAATTGTTCAGAAAAAGGATGTGGGATGTTCTATAGTTTTACAGAAATGCGAAGATTAGCTCAGGATAGACTGACGACCTTATGATGATGAAAAAAAAACCACTTATGCTAAGTTTTTATTTAAGTACAGGCATGACTTTGATAATGGGGTGGAAAAAACGATTGTCCGAAAGAAATACCGAAACCATCCACGTCCCTTACGTACATGTGTCTAACACCGACGTTATTTTCTGAATATGAAGTGGCCGATTCAATATTGCAGCATACGATCCACCAGTGGGTGCAATGTTTACTTCCAGTGCACTGTTTGTAAAGTTACATGTCCAATAATCACTTGTAAAGGAACTGTTTGATAACAAACGTCGTAAATTTCCATAATATTTCTTTCTTTTATTGCCTGTCTGATGTTTCTGAACGGGTCGACTTCTCATAGAACGTGGAACTAGATCAGAACATTTTGTAGTTTGATTTGACAGCATGCATTGATAACAAAAATAAAGATAGAAAGCAATCATAGTTATTGAAAGTGGATGAAGAACTACCGTGGGCAGAAATTTTTAGAAATGAGAATATTTTAGAAGAAGTAGAAGAACTAGGGATGAAGCATGACCCATTGGATCTCATTAAATGAAAATTCCACACAATTTTGCAAGAAGCAAAGTGTGTAAAAGTTTATGAAAACAATTTTTCACACAATTGGAATATTTTTAAATTAAATAATGTAAAGGTACAAAAGTACCCTTAGCTAAGCTGTGTCGTTAAAAAATTAAAAATCCATTTCGGGTAAATCAACTATTACCTATAGATGCATTTATATGAGTATATACCAATTTATCATACTACGTGATTGAATGTTCAAAGGAAAATATTGTTTGTTACTTTTAGAAGAAAAATTTCTCCTTTTTACATTTTTTGACGCACTTACGTAGCCACTTCTATTTGTGTAAATGTTACAGAGAAAAAATGCGATAAAGATAAACTGCTAGCAAACGTTTCGAATGATTGATAAGACTGTCTGCAGATTGATTAGTGGTATATCGACGTCCCGAAAATTCCTTAGAGTATCGGGAGGAACCAGGGTTAATTAACTAATTGGTAATAAAGAAAGATCTTTATCCGACGAGATCGAAATCGAATAAAAAAACGATTTCGTTCCAATTTACGGATTCTAATTTACGTAAAAAGAAAAGCCAAGACCAAAGAGGAATTAAATGGCTGAGGTATAAAAAAAAGATTACCCACATAAACGAGTTTAACGTTTAAGATCGAAAGTTAGACGAAATTTTAATTTTATCTCAAAGACAAGAATGATGTTTCAAGAAGCTTCCCACGTAAGCCACTTTTTTGAATCAAAATCAATAAGGAAAAGAAGACAAGGGAAGCAAAACATATAAAAATATTAACTAAATATGTTACTAAAATCTATAGGCTAAACTAGAGATTTGAGCAGTTAAACTAAACAATACATCCAGTTCGATCTCAATTCTTTTGGCGGCGAAGAAGGTCCCTGATGGACCTCAAAACGTTGTGCAGTAATTTCTAAATGTAAATATACATTTTTTTACCAAAAAATGCTTTGATAATAATTTTGAAAGCGACCGTTGTTTATATGTTTTGTAAATGCACTACTTTCACTTAAGGAAATGATTCGATTTTAACAACTTTGAGGAAGACTGGTATTGGAGTACGAAACGTTGTAGGTAGTATGGTTTATAATTAATGTTGATACTTACTGAATAAAATTCGTAAATCCATAACTCACTTCACAAGATGGTCGTCGTATAGCTACTGGCCAGCGAATTTCAATAACAGTCGAGTTTCTTTGCAAGATTGTTATATAACAGTCCTACCAATTGGTTGGTCAAATCGCATCGAGAACCAAATTTCACCTTTCCAAACAGCAAACGCGGTGTAACAAACTGTCTCCATACATGTAGTATGTAGGCCTGTGTTATGGTATTTATCGATAATGTCATTGTTATTGTACTATGTATGCATGTACGTGCATGGTTCAACGTGAATTGTGGCGGAGGTTGTAAATTTCAAACGTCCGCAGAAACAAGAATGATGTCGGTAAAGAATGGTTAGTACATGAAATTTACCGAATTACTTCTAATTTGCCAATAAAAGGTCGATAGGACGGTCGCCCGTAGAATTTTAAAGGGCTCCTTGGGATGCTGCTGGAGCAACACGGCCCTAAACGAATTACTTCGAAATTCAATTAAACTTCTACAAGGGTGTACAATTTCAAAATGACCCAATCGATCTAATTTAAGCCATTAGGTAAGGTTACAATTCAAAATACACCTACCGCATAAAATAAGTGTTAATTATTGTTTTCTAACGTCTTTTCCGACAGTGCCCTTACTCAAATGTAAAGGCTTCTGTATGAATAAGTACATTAATTATATTATTTTAACACGTACGTGCTGTAGCTTTATTCTACTATAATTTATATTCACCGGCGCTGGGGTTTCTCCGAATTACCTCATGATAATAATACTGGTTGAGTAAACTTGTCCTATATTATTTCTGAGTTCTGCATCATTCCTCCAAGGAGGGTTTTAAGAAACCATTTGTATGATAATGAGAAGGACATCTTATTCATAAAATGTAATGTTCATGTGTACAGAGCTTGATATTTCTCTACTTATTCAGTACAATACATGTTGTTAGTAGACAATTCAAAGTATGAATATATATTTACAGAATTTAGAGGATTTATTCGTTGATTATTAGATTCTTTGTTGGATTGTAAGGAAAATATTCCTTTACAGTTTTTCGATCCGACGTATAGTTATGGAGTAATAAACGATTAAAGTCATGAGCCAATCAATGGACGTATTGGTTTCTGCAAGCGGATGTGGGCGGAGCTGTCTGTATTCTTCTACTTGCAGCTAAGAAGTCGCAATCTGATTGGCCAATTGCTTCAATCTTTACTCGTTAATAACTCAAAAACTACACGTCTGATTAAAAATTCGTAAAGGAAAAGATGTCTTAGAAATTCGCCAAGATTTAGATGGTGTACTTTTTGAAACATTATTTTACGAACGCCCTGTACAGTTGAATGAATTTATTAAATTGTGATATGAACATTTCATTTTCGTGTCGAGGCGGTTGGGAATGGTTTTTGATACAATTTCTTTGGAAAATCCAACTTATGATGAGATAACTTTGGGTTTCACTTGCAGAGTGGTATTATGTCATGCGAAACACCTTTAATTTTGATTGCCAACCACGTTTTCAGGTCAATGTTGCCGCTGGTTGGATTTGACGGCTTGTGCTTGTATTCAGTCACTGAAGCCTTAAAAATTACACTTCCAGAAAGCGAAAGTGTATTGGTACCGATCTTTTCACGCGAAACGACGAAAATATTTCTAAAGTTCGACAAATCCTCGACGAAAAATTTATGAATATGTAAATGTACTTTTTAATAAAACTGCTATTTTTTAATCAATATTCAACGCCATTTTTCGTTTTGGGTCAATGTGAAAATTACTTAATTTATTACATATATAGAGTGCGATAAAGTAACATAATAAATTATTTTATAGAATAGGTTCGTGTATGGGCACAAGGTCATTCCTACATAACGAATTCTTTGAATGGAATTGTTCATTAAGAATTTTAATTTTTTTCGTCATTTATTTTAATTTATTACACAATGGTAGTTGATAACCGCATAATTTTTGTAGAGTACCCATTGTTTTCTGATAGAAAATAGTAGATAGTGTCAGTTTTAGTTCCAGTTGAAGAAATCTGCTATTTCCGAAAAGAAAATTGCACGATACTTTTACTGTGACCAATTCAATAAAATCGGTCACCATGAAGTTTTCTAAGTTTCCTGGTATTTGTTGAATTTTCGAAGAAAATTATGATATAACTCGGGCTATCACGGCCGGAGTCAATATTTAAGAAACGATTTTTCGAGTTCTCATTATCAAGTCGTCAGTCCTAAGACTGGTTGGACACACACCTCCACTCCTTCCTATCCTGAGCTAAACTTTGCATTTCCCTAAAACTAAAACAGCCCACATCCTTAACTATTTGCGAACAGTAATCTAATCTAGGTCTACCTCTACCCCTCCTAACTCCTGTTTCTGCCTCTAATATGTCTCTGACTAGACCTTCATGCCTGAGAAGGTGTCCTACCAACCTATCTCGCCTATATTTTATTGACTTCCATAGAGTCCTCTGTTCTCCTATTCTTTCCAATACCTCTTCATTTCTAACCTTTTCTACCCACGTTATCCTCATCATCCGCCTATAACACCACATTTCGAACGCTTCTAACCTTTTCATTTCCGCCGCGCCCACTGTCCATGTTTCGCACCCGTATGATGCCGTGCTCCAAACATACCCCTTTAACAACCTTTTTCGAATTTCTAAATTAACCGTTCGCGAGCATAGAAGTGACTTGTTTTTATTAAAGGCGACACGACCCTGTGCTATCCTCTGCTTTATATCCCTACTACTCCTTCCATCCTCACTTATCTGACATTTAACATTGCCAAAATCTTTTTCTAAATCTACAAATCCTGTATACGCGCTCTATCCTTTCTCTATCGCTTTCTCTCTAGAATTCCCTCCCGCGTTTCTCTATTTCTTCTAAAACTCAAATTAATCTTCCCCTAGTGTTTTCCCTCTCCCTTTCTAAAAATTGTTCCAAAAAATTCATCGGTTAAACTTCTGTAGATTTGGATAACAATGTAAACCGGAACGATCCGAAATTATCTTCATTTCTTTCCCTTATCGTACAGGTTATGGTCACATAGCTCCAAAAACCACATTAGGAAAGGTTGTCACGATATTCTACGCGATATTGGGCATTCCACTTATGCTTCTTTGTCTTTCAAACATTGGCGATGTGATGGCCACCTCTTTCCGCTTTCTCTATTGGAGAGTATGTTGTTACATTTGTACAAAGAAGCCAAAAAAACCCCGCAGGGTTAGACAACGAGGCGGTACCATTCGCAGAGAAGGGTGAGACTAATCAATAACCCTTAATAATGACGACAAAGTAAAAGAATGTTACTATTTTAGTGGAAGGGGTTCGTACAGATCCAAGACCCAATCGTTAAGAAGATCAGTCCGCACATCTACTAGATCCGCAGATAGTGGATTTGATTATGGTGATGTTAATCCATTATCCCATTCAGACACTGAGATAAGGTACTGATGTAGTACTTGATCAATCCCAGTCATGTATTATGTAAATCTTTTAATCCCAGAGTACACGAAGAGTTGCCACCAATGAAAGTTAGGGGTGCCAGCCTTCCCAGAATGAAACCTGGTCAGAATTCACGCTTTCGGGAGATGTCCACGGTAAATCAAAGACCGAATCAATACGGAGCAGGAAGAGTTCAACAGAGGGGCGGTTCTTTAGACCGTAGGAGGGCCCCAAAGGTTTGGGATCCATCCCTGGACCTCAATACCTTTCCAGATGCTCCTGTCCTATGTAACAAATATGCCTTGGAAGGTCCAGAAATTGAGTCCAATCATATACAGCGTATGCCCTGTGGACAGGAAAATTCTGTTTTCAAACCGATTGTTTTTCTTTTAGGGGGTGGAATTAGGAGGAGTTTCGAAAGATCAAGAGGTCGAAGGGCAGTTTCGATGCCGAGGACCCACAACTATTTAGAACTGCCGGTTCCTGTATCTCCTGCTAGATCTACTGAAGATTTGCGACCAAGACAATCCGAATCATTGAAGAGACCATCCCGTAAGTTTACTATTCGTTTGAACAATTGTTGTGAAATATTGTTTTTGTTTCAGCTTCTCGTCATCATGCAAGTCCCCGTATCATGTCCCCATTGGGCTATGGATCCAAGTCGCTCTATATAGAGGAGGAGTCAGACACAGAGTATTTCGACGACGGAATGTCCTTTGAAAGTAGTCGAACAACAAGGATCAGACCGGTTCCCATTTGGCTTTGCGTTTTCTTGGTTGTAAGCTATATTTTTGCAGGCGCGTTCCTGTTCACCGCGTGGGAGAACTGGGACTATCTGGACTCTGCCTATTTCTGTTTTATCACCCTTACTACCATAGGATTCGGCGATTTCGTACCGGCTAAGAGGGTTACCGAAAATGCTGAGATGAGCATTGCCCTATGTTCGCTCTATCTCCTTTTCGGAATCTCTCTACTGGCAATGAGTTTTAATCTAGTCCAAGAAGAAGTGATAGCTAATGTCAAGAGCGTTGCCAAGACTTTGGGAATCATAAAAAGCGACGATATTGACGACGACGATGATTAATTGATGAATAAACATTTTGAATATTTTGTATGGTCTTTAGTTTCCTTTTATTAGTAGCTACTAGATGGCGTGAGTGACTACTAAATAGGTAAGTTATTTTGGATACGTATTGGTACTCGTATATCTGTAGTTAGAACACTGAAATTGTTGTTGTAAACCACAAGTACTGTTTAGTATAACTAGATAAAGCATTTAGCTTAGCGGGGGTGCTAGTTATGGGTCTATTAAATTTATTTTACCATTAAATATTAGAGAACATGCGGAACTATCAAGCAGGTAAGTTATTTTGGATAATTTTGAATAGTCATATCGATATATATGTCATTAGAACATTGAAATTGTTGTTGTAAGTCGCAGGTCAAGCAGTGTTTAGTACAGTATTACAGGGATGGTAGTTATGGGGGTAGAAAATTTATTTCTTTTCATTATTGTGTGAGATTTTCTATTTACGGCTTCAGTGAGATACATTAAAAAAAGAACTAATTACAGTTATTACATTTCTTATTTGCCTTCTAAGACTTTCGCCGAGGTGTCGCCGGTGGGCTCGGATAGTACATTACCGTTTTTCCAGAGGAATTCACTGTTGGGGACTGAAAAAGCAAATATGAGTTAGAGAAATTGTAGTATTATTTCAAATACTATACTTGCTTCGTTCCCCGTAGAATACGGCTTTTCGTGCATAGGGTATGCCGCCGAAGTCTAAAAACAAAAATTGAAACAGTTATTAACTATTTCCGAAAATAAAAAAGAATAAAAAAAAAATGAAGTGTACAAGGGTGCAGAAAATTATTTAGGGCTGTGTTCCACTAGAATCTGTGCAGTTGTTTCGTATAATATTATATCTATTAAATAAAGTGCCCAAAGCATGTGAAAATCGTATCAGAAAAGTAATTGCGTACAGTGCGAGGCAAAAGTTTTGATCCGATTCATGTGCAGTTGTTTTCGTGTTTTGTTTTGTGTCTAGGCTTACGTTGTAGTTTGAAATTTCCGGCCGCCCCGTTGCTTTCTTCACCCTGAACCTTTGAGAATTTTTTATTGTGAAATTTCCGGAAGTTTAAACCTTTGGAAAATAGAAAACATGATTTTCGAAAAACAAAGTCCAATTACTTTTGCCAGTTTTTATAAATACTCACTGTTGTCTAGAAACGATGGGTAGTATTCTGGGCTAGACATCTGTTGAGGTTCTAAAAGAATTAAGAAAATACTCAGCACTTTCTGCAGGAGATATTTTGAATTTTAAAAATTATCCAATGAAAAAAAATTGGTGTCGATTATTATTATTATTATTGAACTACAGGTTTGAACTGATAATTATAAGTTTATAGTAGTGTTCACTTCTGCAAGGACTTTTAAAAAGTTTAATATATAATCTTAGATATGAAATTTTGTTTGGTTTAACCGTAATGGATAGGGGTAGTTTTTACTTTTTATTCTTCACCTCGTTGGACTCGTCTAATATGGACCGTGGATAGGTTGTCAGTGGTGCCTTTCAACCATGCACCAGAATTTGATAATCACAAACACAGATATAGAGAATGGATTGAGCTTTCTGTGTTAAATCGTAAGAAATATTACACACCAGTGGAAGAAGGACACTCAAATAGTCCATTTTCTATGTGTAGGGCTATTACACGTGATTAGAATATTTATATATGCAACCAATTATACGCTGCAGTAGAAATATTTGGACCCGATCTTTAGCTTTACCAATAGAAATGCTTTAAAACTATCGATCGTTGATGATTGTAGACGAAAATTGTTTGTTTTAGAGTTGTAATGGATTTTTTTTATCGAATTTGTTCATGATTGTGATGGAATGACGGAAATTCATTGGGCATTCACACAAACCTTCACACATTATACAAGTACGACTTTTCGAAGGAGTATTTGAAATTTATTTTTACTTACGGTAGTACTGGACTTGTCCTTGTTCTTGTGCTGGTGCGTACATTTCTCTTTGTGGCATAGAATAACCAGGGTTGATGATCAAATTTGCCCCAATCCCTGATGGTTGTCCGAAGGAACCAAATGCCTTGTAATTCAAACCTGGGCCAGGATATTGCATTTCAGGCACAGGAGCAGGACCACCGTAACCATTGTAGCCTTCTCCTTCAGGCATTGGAGCAGGACCGCCGTAACCAGCGTAGCCTCCTGCTCCAGACATTGGAGCAGGACCACCGTAGCCCCCTGCTCCTCCTCCGGACACTGGATATTCGTTATTTTGCACTTGATAGGGAGGTACGGGCCATTGTCCTTGAAGACCACTTGAATAGCTGAGCGGAACTTGTCCCTGACCTTCAGCTGCCCACTGGCTTTCTTGCAGTTTTCTACAACAGTCTTCGTAGGGTGACTTTTGGTAGTTGAAGCCTTCTGATTCAGGGGTGTAGGGCAGGAATTTTGTCGACTGAGCCGTTGGTACTACTGGGTGGTTTTTAAATAAATATTTATTTGAATATAATTCGGTTTAAATATTAATTCATTTTAATTTTTATCCACTATAAGTTAATGAGAAAAAACTGTTGTTGCCGTCACACGCTCGCCGGGATTCGAACCCGAGACCTTTAGCATCACGTATCAACGTTCTTACCATTATGCTGCAAGAGGTGCAACAGCAACCTGAACGAAACGTAATTATAATGTCACTAATATTGTATGAAACACGTCGGTTTAGTTGGTGATTTATCGAGACTGCCTGTGGCGTGCTGATGAGATCAAATAAGACCGAAATCTTATCTAATTAATAAAACTTTAAATCCAAAATTCTCTATAGTGTCAAAATATATTTTATTTTCCTTCTCTATTTGAATTTCTTGTATTTGAAGATATTGTTTAATTCCAGGAGAGATCTTTTTATAATTGAACTAAGGATATTATTATATTATTAAGGATTCAACTGTTCTTACCTCCATCTTCCGCTGCAATTCTTGCTGCTCCCTAAAATGCGAAGGAAGAGAAATTATTATTGGAGAAATAAAAATGAGAAAAAGTGTCTTTCAGTGGGTTTTGATAATCTTGTAATCTTTAATTAATTTAATTGTTTGAGATAAATAAAAACAACTTACAAGAACGGTGGTGAGGAGGCAGAATGTGCAGAACACGTAGAAGAGGTCGGTTTTGTCTGAATGCATGGTGCCTACTGAATGATTATTAGGAAAAAATTTTCGACTTTTATATAGAACGGTTCGCATATACTTTATTATAAACAAAAATTGGCTCCATTTGTGTATTTAATCGAAGTCGCATGATAAATTGGTCAGGCATTTTAGGCTATTGAAAATTTGACACACCGATTTAGTATGGACCGTGTATTTTAATAACAACCGTTTCCACTGACAAACTCCGTAAAATGCGGTGTTTATTGTTTTTCTTTTGCGAAAAGGACCACAGTTAACGTCAGTGTTCGTTTCTGCGTGGGGACCGTATTTTCCAAACATGGGGGCCGCTGCTTGATTAGATTAGATCAAAGTTAATTGATTATTTGCCGTTTATTTTTGCATCTATTTTACATTAACAAGCAACAAGATAACAAGATTATAAACGATTCATTTAAGTTACTCATGAAAAATCATCATATCACTTTTATACTTATAAAAACTTTTAGAGTTTCCAGGGGTTTTCGTAAATTCTACAGGAAAACCTTGGCAACGATTTTCGAGGTGTTTTTTTTTAATTTGGACCACCTGTTACCCCTTATGACAGATTAAATAAGACTTTGCCGGATGATTCTCTTTTTGAATAAAATAATTCGAAGTGGTCCGCGATTTCAATCTTCTTGGATCCCATCAGCGCGTCACAGGCAGCTCCGACAGAACACAGACCAACTTTTACCTGCTGTCTTAACAGCGCGTTTTAGAAAATACCACAAATGGCGCGGTAAACGCCATCTGTAGTACGATGCTACATTTTAGGATTACGTATGCTCCAACAAGGTCCACT